ACGGCATTTTCAAAACATTTCAAGCAAAAATCTTTACGGTTAGCAAATTTACAGCTGAGGACTCCATTACAGATCGGGAGGGGTAGAAGGTAGGAGGGAAACAATAATAATTTGGGGATGGAAGAAAAGAAAAGCTGCACAACTGCTGAATGATAACGGCTGGAACCTTGGGAAATAAAGGTAATGGCAGGAAGGGGAGGAATTACAAGGACAGTGTGACCTCTACATGTCTTGCAGGTGCACAGGAGCTATTCCACATATGTGTGTGAATGTATAGGTATTAAAGATATATTGTCTTTAAGAGAGAAAGGGGGCACATAACTGAGCCGTGATTTTGCCTACACTGTGACACATTCAAAATCAGCGTAAAGTTAGGTTATGTGTAATTCAGAAAATTACCAGCTCCCAAAGCACCTGATCTTTGTCCTCCTGGCCTGGTTCACTCTGGAGACTAAATTCCCATCCCCATAGAAATGGTGCGTGGGACTTGGGCAACACGAATGATTTCTCATCCCAGGATACAAAGTAAGGTACATGACAAGCACTTCAATAAACAAGCTTTCATTAAAGGGCTTCAAGGAACATTACAGCTATTTTTTAACTCCCACAAAAGCCTAGAAGGTAAGAGCTAATTATCTATGTTTATAACTGTGTAAACTGAGATATAAAGAGATCAACGGTAACAGACCTTTAGAAGAAACCTCAGATAACAAGTTTAAAGTGCTTCAGTATTTTGCTGAATCTAGAATCAAATAACTGGGTCAAAGTCTCACAAGTGAGTCAGACCATGACTCCCAGCTCCTGCTTTCTTCACTCTCCAAACATTGGGACTATATGTGGAAGCCTGAGAAGTAATTTTATATGTGGGATGTTAAATCAGTACTTGTCCTGTCTCATCAATCTCCTGTATTTTGGTACAGTGTGAATCATTTGGTAAGTGGCACAAATTAGAAAACCCAGAAGAGATGTTAAAAATACTACTTTTTTTTTTTTTTTTAGCACTTAACTTAGAATCCTTTATCAGAACTAAACAACAGCAAGAGCTTCACCATTAGAAAATATTTTAGAGCTTACTCTAAACACAGGGAAAACTATTAAATTGACTTTGCTGGGAATTTTAGGGGAGCAAAAGCATATACTTTCTCTTTGCTCATAAAAACTCAAGAAGTTTTCTTACTTCAGATTCACAGAAATGAGCTAGAAAGGAGTTTTATCCATAGTAAAGTTGTGCTTTTTATAAACACTTTAGAAATTTTTTTTACCTATGTGAAATGACCTGTATATTGTACAAAATATGTTTGGGGAGAGGAAAGGGAGAGAGAGAGGTTACTATGAATTTTTTAATCAAGAATAACATATTGCATCCCATTTGATAAAAAAGATTCTCATTTAGGCTTAATACAGCACATCTGCTTGAAAAATACATACAAGGCTCCCATTGACTGCTGTGGGAAGTTTGCCAATAATATTTCATGGAAGTTATCTTGATATCAGCCTTGGAAAATACAGACATTTTACAGGGAGTGTAAATTCAACAACGGAAAGTTAAAAATAACTCACTCATGCATAAAGAAATTTGATTGGTTTTACAGTTCCTAGCTTTAATTTTCAATTTTATCAGATGTATGGTCTAAGAATAAAACTTAGGTGACAAGGTCTAGTTTACAGTGAAGTTGGGTGGTTTGACATTGCAGGCCATGGCCATGAAAGATGAAATGATGTGATGGACAACACATGGACTCCAGTGCACATCAAAAATACACATGAACAGCACGAGGATGAAAAAGGTCTTGCACAAAACAAAAATCTCTTTTAAAAATGCATATGAGAATGCAGGAATAGCAGTGTAAAGTAAGTAAATGTATACTTTCAGAGCGCCGTGATTTCCCCTGTGTGAAAGGTCTTAGAGGCAAACTGGAAAAGGAACAGAAAATACATTTCTGTTCTTTACTGCTCCTTATTCTCCCCTTAGTTTGGGTCTCATGCATATGGGGAAATGAGGTAGTAAACTATACCACAGTGCTATCCATTCCCTGGGTGGACACTCCTACTCTAGAATAAGAGCGGATTTTCCTGGTTAATTTATTTTATTTTGAAAGCAGCTTAGCTGTGTTGGTGAGGGGGGAAATCCACACTTACTCCCAAATAAGAACATCCATCCAGGGAATTCACAGCTCAGATACTGCAGTATGAGTTCAGATTTTGCTTTTCATTAGTATGAAAAGGCTGTAGACATTCCCATCGTGGTGGAAGTGTGGAACCCAGGAATTCAAGGGGGATTTTACCAAAGCCTGCAGTGAGGCCAGGAGCCCACCCAGGACCTCTCCTCTCACCTGGGATGTAGGTAGGATGCAGTTTAGATCCCAGGGTCCACCATTGCCACATCCTGCCCTTGGAGCTCTAAAAGAGTCCTTCAGAGCCTCTTTGAAAACTGAAACATTAAGTGTTACACACAGTGATAAAAAACAACAGATTTTTTTTCTTGCCCTTTTTAAGAGAAAGCCCGGCTACAGTTTTTTAAGTCAGAAGAAAATTCTACTTTCCAACATCACCATGCTGATCTGGAAATAGAGGGATGTTTTGTTCCTGTTGGTTTCATGATGTTGGAGGATGGAAAAGGTCTTCTGCACCAACAAAGTACACTGAAGCACAATAAAATACACACGGGGTTACATGTGTATTATGGGGTACAGATGCTGTTAGGGGTTGGAAAAGGCCTTTGGAAAATAACAGTTGCTTTGTAAAATACCATAATGTCCCCTTTGTGGTATTTTATGGGGTAGCAACGAATTTTGTTGCTGGTGTAACAGAGTATTTCATAAACACAATCTTTGTCCTGCAGTGCTTACTCTGAAAAGTCCCAGTGATCCCACCAGGCTGGAGAACATGACATGACACCACCACCTGACCTCCACCAACCCTGCTGCCACCTGACCTGCCAGAGACCTTACGGTGAGAACCTCTTAACCAGCAACCACCAAACATTCCAGTCACACTCACAAAACGAATTGCCTTGAAATGCTAAAAGTATGCCAGAAATAACACAACTCCTTCAAAGAAGCCAAGTTAGAAAGTTAGATCATGGAAACTGCTGGCCACTGCTACAAATGTACAGTCTTAAATTCCCCCCCAACCAAAATGCCTCCGTGAATATCAAGTGAGTGCACCTCCAGACAGCGTGGAGGATCGGAGTTTTCATATCTAAGCTTATTATTCCTAATATTGCAGAGACACTTCCCTGAATTGTCCTTCTCCTTCCCAAATTCCCCATCTGACCAGATGTCTTTCTCTCTCTTGCTTTCACCTGTCAATCATGTTCACAGCTGAAATTTGATTTCTCTCCCAACAGTAACCTTAGATGAAATATTACCATAGGGGTCAGAACTGTCTGAACCTTGCCATAAAAGTTTGTTAACTCTTCCGAGACTCAAGAGCTATTTGCTTAAAAGTAATGGATTTTGCTGCTGGTTGGCTTGGATTTTTTTTCTATAATATGTGAAAACATAACCACAAAATAATGGAGGAAGGTTCAAGGAATTTTCCTGGAGAACAGCAGGCTAAGCAAGTCCTGAGATCACAAGTGTTCACAAGCTTTTCTTCTTTATTATATTGATAAGAAGAATATGTATCACTGATTTATATAAATCTAATAGTCATATATATATAAATTGCAGGAAACACGAATGTTTTCCTACGGGATTATTGAAATTAGAAATGCTACACTAGGAGCAAGGTGACAGAATATGTGCTGCACCTTTGCAAGGAAAATACACGCTTCATGTATTTACTTGAGCTCAATCATGACTTGGTTCTGTCCTTGCAAAAAAGCATATTGCACTTTAAGTTTTCACAAAACCCCCCCCCCACAAATAGTCTGGTTTCCCTCTCATTTACAATTGTGAAATACAGAAAAAAACATGCAATTCAGACAAAACCCTACCCAGGGTGTTCCTTGAGGAAGTGAGAGGAGCATCAGGCTCAAAATGAAGCTCTTCTGGTGCTCCTTGAGAAACTTATTCCTGCAGCCCATACACCACGAAAAAATCCTCTCAGTGCTATTTATTTTAAAGTTTAGAGCACCAATTACATCTTCCCTGTCTGCATTTAAATTTTAAATAATAAATCTATTATTTAAATTTATTTTTAAGAATAGAAAATAAATCTATTATTTTATTATTTACATTTCTTTTAAAAATAAAAAAAATAAATCTATTACTTAGACAAAGCCTGATTCCATGAGTTAATAAAATTCAGCTGTTTTCTAATAGCACTTAACCATTGATCAAAGCTCGGCAGGCTGCACGGCAGCCTGTGTTCTTAACTAAAATAGGAGGTTTCATAAAAAAAATTCACACAGGAATCTGTCATTGCAACCTTGGTGCTCATTTAACCCACTTAGTATTTTTATAGTCAAGGTCAATAAAAATCAGATTCCATGCAAAAAAAAAAAAAAATAAAGTGCCTCTTTGAGTCCAGCAGGGGAAGGGATTGAAAGTTTTAATTCCCACATTTTCATTAGCAGCATATTTTTCAGTCAATGTTGACAGACTGAATGAACATGAATTTCCAGAGGAAAGCAGTGCTGTGAATTAAACTCTATTGTAATTTGTAAGTACTGAAGTTGTCTAACACAGACTCATGATTTTCATCGAGATCTGAGGGAGATCTTCAGAAGACCCATCCTTAATCCCCGTAGCTGATGTCTGAACGCTAGCATTTGAAGAAAAAGAAAGAAAACATTTGCAAAGGATTATATATGAGTTGTGGGACACGGGAGAGCTGCCTGGCTGACAAAAGTACAAAGCCCCATCATTGCAAACGGTTTCTCGTAGGCACCTGAAAGTCAGTCTCACCCAAAAGCCCAGGAAAACTGCACCACAGCCTGTCACCGGCTCCCTGGGGCTGGAGCAAAAAGCACCATCTCAGCAGCAGAAAACAAAGCAGCAAAATCACCACCCCTGCTGAAATATGTCAAATTGCTAATGAAAATGAAAACATACCTTTTTTTTTTTTTTTTGACCTCAGGTGACAGGGATTTTCACATCACCGTTGTAGATGATTCTCTCGGGTACCTAATTTAGTAAATATATTAAAATAAACCGTTATTAAAAGGAATATTTAACATTGCAAAGCCTGTCTTTTGTGCCACTATGGTACAGAATAGGACCTTTTATATGCAAATCTAAATTAAATTTAGAAAGTCTCTTGCACTGTTTATTAACTCTGAGTGCAGAAGAAATGAGCACAGTTTGAAGTGAGACATTTCTAGCTCACACATCTAGTATTTACTTCACAGTAATAACAGGAGATTCTTACTGACAAATTACCTTAAAAACATGTATTTCTGGCTCACCAGTGAATATCAGCTTCTAAGACACAAAAGCATGCAGCTTTCTGGATTTCTTTCTTAATGATCATTATTAGCTGCAATAATGTAATTGGCAAAATAATAATCAATTTTTGTACACACTCCATTATTTTCCAGACAGTAGTTTAATAACAAAAGCAGAGCTGTCATTTCTCCCTGCAGTTACTCACACTGTACAAATTCATCCTGTCAACACATATTTAAAATCTAATTTAAAAAAAAATTTCAGCATAGAGTGAATCTTTGTACAATAAGTGAGATAAGTCAGCGAGTCAATTCACATTTCTTAAATATGGATATTTGGTTGTGTCCCTTACAGTCAACTTTCTCTCCCTGAGTGTGCATACACAGGCATATACATATATTTTCTATAAACTGCCTGCAGGAATGCTTCAGCTTCGTCCATTTATTGTAACTGTGCAGCATAATCAGAGCAAGAATAGACCACAAGTCTGATTGACTTGAATAAAAAAAACAGGCAAGATGAACTATAGGTGCTTTTCCAGCATTTTGATTCCAGATCAGCTCTGAAAACAAGTCAGTGGCATGGGCTTTTTTGTTTGTTTTTCTTTCTTTCTTTCTTTCTTTTTTTCTTTCCTTCTTTTTCTTCTCTCTCTTTTTTTTTTTTTTTTTTTTGAGAAAGGGGACCGTGCTTCCATAAATGCAATACTTGGCACCTGGCCCGGGATCTCTAAAAGCAAATGACTCCCGTGGACCTTTGGTGTCATTTTCCTCAGGACGACCTCTCCTTTCATGCCAATCGGTTAATTCATCCTGTTATTAATGCACGGGGCCGAGAGGAACAGGTACTCCAGCCTCACACCTGAGGAGCATCCAGAAAGCGATGTGGTCAACCTGCTTTTAGTCTTTGCTGTGACCATCCTGGCCCTAAACCCACAGCCATTCAGACACAGCACAGCAGAGCTGGAAGAGGAAGCACCAACTCTCTTCCACTGGCAAGGTGCATTGATTCATTTAGCAGCTTTATTTAACTATCAATTTATTAATAAGGAAGCAGTCAAAGACAGTAAGAGAGTGTGAAGGCAGCCAGAGACACTAAGCAGATTTATTCATTTAAGAAGTCTGATCACTTTCCTTCATTTTATCTGACAGAGTTGGTGTAAGACAGTTATACTTCAATAAGTTTTCTACTCTAAACTGTGCTATTTTAAAAGGATTTCACAATAAAGGAAGCTGAAAGACTGTGCACAGTCTGGAGACTGTATCTGGTGTGACATGAATATAGTATTTTAAACAGATTTAATCTTACAGTATTCCCTCTTCTACAGTGACTTTGCAGGAGGAAACCCTACGGAAAGGAAAATCTGTTCATCCCACACCACAGAACACTGAATCGCACTGCAGGCTCCAGCAGCTCTTCCTACATATTAAAATGCTTCCATCAGGGAATTTGGAAGCAGTTAAGTCAGGAGGAGGATTGGGGTGGGGGGGGAGAGAAATAAATACTAGGTCTTGTTTGGTTCACTTTCGGGCTCGTTTTTATCATCACCGATGATGTACTGTCACAGCTTTATGTGCTTGAGAGAGCAGGGGCTGTCTGCAGTGGAGACACCTCAGCTTCAGAAGCTGATACCAACAAATACCCTGATCCCATCCCCAGCCCCTTTAACAGCGACAGTCCGCTGCCAAGGCCTTGGCAAGAACTTTCGTCTCAAAATTGGAGAAGCAGGGTTCAGCCTCTGGAAAGGGAATCTGCCTGCTTTCTTACAGAAAAGGGCTTTAAGTTAATCATACACACATTCCGAGGTACATCCACATAGACTTGTGAAACTCAGCCTCGGCAAACGCCGCTGACCGTACTTCAGATTCTTTAAAAGCCATGAAATGTAAATCCTGCCTGCTCCCATTCCTGCTCCCTGCAGAGATATCAGGGCCTGATCCAAAATGTCATTTAAAAAGCTCCCTTTGGTTGCAGTGGGGTTTAGATTAGTCTCTGTATGAGCACAGATGTAAAGGAAAAAGAAAGGAAGGAAAGGGAAAAATGTAAGAAAAGAAAGAAGAAGGAGAGAAAAAGAAAGGAAAAGAAAAAGGGAAAGGAAAAGAAAGGAAAAAGGAAAGAAAAAGGAAAAAAAAAAGGAAAGAAAAAGGAAAAGGGAAAGAAAAAGGAAAGGAAAAGAAAAAGGAAAAGAAAAAGGAAAAGAAAAAGGAAAAAGAAGAAAAGGGAAAGAAAAATGAAAATGAAAAAGAAAAAGAAAAAGAAAAGAAAAAAGAAAAATAAGGAAGAAGAAAGTGAAAGAAAGGGAAAGAAAGGAAAGGAAAGGAAAGGAAAGGAAAGGAAAGGAAAGGAAAGGAAAGGAAAGGAAAGGAAAGGAAAGGAAAGGAAAGGAAAGGAAAGAAAAGAAAAGAAAAGAAAAGAAAAGAAAAGAAAAGAAAAGAAAAGAAAAGAAAAGAAAAGAAAAGAAAAGAAAAGAAGAAAAGAAAAGAAGAAAAGAAAAGAAAAGAAAAGAAAAGAAAAGAAAAGAAAAGAAAAGAAAAGAAAAGAAAAGAAAAGAAAAGAAAAGAAAAGAAAAGAAAAGAAAAGAAAAGAAAAGAAAAGAGAAAAAGAAAATACTGTGACCAAACGCGAGGGCAGTGCTCTGTGGACATACCTAGGGCCGGGCAGCCCGCGGGAGCCGCCGGGTGACACACCGCTCGGGATGCGCGGACGGACGGATCCATAGTTCCGCCCAGACTCCCCTTTTGTTCCAGGGATGGGTTTTAGAGACAAACAAACAAGCAAGCAAACAAACAGACGATGCGGCCCTCACCTTCTCGCCCCTCCCGGCCCGCCCTGGCCGTGGTGGGACCCCGGGGCTGGGCAGCCTCAGACGCGGCCCGGGGAGGCGTCGGTGCCGGCGCCCCGACGTGGCGGCCCTGCACAGAGTCCGGGCAGCCCACACGCACCGCCCGGCGCGGGCCCCGGTAGGCCAGCTCCTCGAGGGAACCGCCAGGGGAGTCCCTGCAGTGTAACCGACGACAGAGGGTCATATATACGTGGGCTGCTGGAAGCAGGGACAATAGATAAGAGAAACGCACCCTCCAAACACATCTGCTGCGCCGCGGCGGCTGGTTGACGGCTGCGCGCGAGGCCGCACCAGGCTGTGTCGGGCACCTCACCAACCCACCCCACCCCTGTCCGCGCCACACCCTGCGGCCACTCCGGCCCGGACACCCCCCCCGCGTTCTCAACACCCGCCACCCCCCACAGGTCCTGAAGATCAGGGTCAGGGGCACGGCCTCCACCCTCCACACCCCTACCTGGCTCTGCTGTTATCAGGGACACCAAAAACACCCGCCACCCACCACACAATGAACGGAAACCCACGCCCCCACCCAACGTTGGCTACCCCAGGTTTGTTGCGATATCTAAGAATAACCAAAAACAAAACAATAGAAGAGCAGGCCGCAGGGCACTCCCATGCAACTCTACCCATTTGGAAACTTGACGGAGCTCGGCTCGATTTGCTATTCTATCGGGGCTCTTCTTTGCTGCGTGCGTGGACGAAAGACCACTTCTAACCAGTTATGCTCTGGCGTTTAGATTCCCTCCATCACGCAGATGATGCTAATAACGAAAGAGATATATAAAATAATATAGAATATATAAAAGAAGAATATAGATAAAATAGATATATAAGACAAGAAGAGATAAAGATAATAGTCAATAGAACTCCCCATAAAAAAAACCAACGCTACAAGGCCGCATTAATGATATAAGAAGAGATATATAGAGATAGATAGAGAGAAACATAAAAAGAGAGATAAAAAGATAGATAGAAAAAAGAAAATTATCATTTCAGAGAGCAGTGAAATACAGGCAGTGGGCACTGAGGGTACTTACACATTGCCACACTGTGCCGGGTCAACCTGATAACGGTGGTAGATAGCTGGGGATGGAGCTGCCTGTCTGCCAGCTACAGCCTCGCAGATCCCTGGCCTTTTGCTTTTCACTTGAAAAGTTAATTCACATCCTGGACTATTTTTGCATTGTGTTGTCTTAGAGCTCACAAATCTGAATGCACTCAGCCCTCAGAGTGACAAATGTTATTCTCGGTCCTCCCCCGCAATTTCAGGCAGTCAAGAATTAGATGCGGCAGAGTGTACACTATTTTAATCTATTGATTTGTACCTGCTGTGCCTGAAAAAATTCATTAGAGGAGCCTTAAAATTATGAAGTGGTTGAATGCTCAGCAACCTCCCAAAAAGACAAATTGTCTCAATAGCCGCTCACCTCTGCCACATTCTGGGTTGTGCTACATCGTGTTATTCACACTGAGACCTGCACTTAAAACAGATCTTTGAAGCATTTGGTTACAGGCAGTGTGCGTGTGTGCGTATAAGCAGGATTGGTTTTTGTCTGAGCTGAGCAAACAAAATCTATCCCACTCTCCATAGCTACCCCTGGAATGGCCAAGCGTCATGGCAGCCGCTCACAACACAGCGATTCGGAAAGAGGGAGGGAAACAAGTTTATTAAAAAATCTTAATTCCTAACATTGAAGTATGTAGGATTATTTTTTTTTTCCTGCGTGAAATTTTAAATTCAGCCATCTGAACAGGTGTCAGAAACAGTGGGTCCATTTAGCTCCTCTGATGATCGGAGTAATAAATATAGAGGATTTCCTTTCAATGCAGCACATGCTGAAATGACACCAATGTAGTTCTGGCATCTTAGCAGATAATTCTGATATATGCATCATTTCCT